TGTCAAGCAGAGGTTAGAAAGGGAGGAAGCAAGCTGGGCACCCAAGCCTACGCTGGCCGTGACCCAGCAGGAAGGAGGAGGACGGTGGTGACTTAACCCCCACCCCTCCAATTCTGAGACCACTAGCTGATCCTAGGGCTCACAAGGGTGATGGTGGAATGTGGCAGACCCCTGAAGGGCAGATGGGGTGTGACAATGTGGTGGAGAATGCAGGCACTGCCCTGCACCTAGGGAGCCCTTTGCCCCACCTGCCCATCCTGGTCGGGTGGACAAGCAGACAACCATTACTACGTCAACACATATTGATCCCCCATGAGCAGACAAGTGAATCACCAACTGGGACTGAAGCCATGGCTAGCATGGAGGCAGAAGAGCCCTTGGGCAGTATGGACCTCACCCAATTTGGGCAGTGGCTGGTGGAGCACCAGGCACAGCTAATGCAGGAGGTGACCCAACAGCAACATGTCACCCAGGCCACTTTGTTACAAGATGTCTGGCAAGTGTTAGATGCCACCAGACCTATGGTGGATGCCAGACCCAGTGGAGGCAGTGGAGCCGGCCCCGCTGGGATCCCTGGCTGAAGTGCCTGGTTCCCCTTGATTAAGATGGGGCCTGGGGATGAGGTGGAGACATTTGTGGAGACTTTGTAATGCACCACTGAGGCCTCCCAGAAGCCCTGGTCCCAGTGGGCCTTTATCCTGGGGACCTACCTTAACGGAGAGGCAGAAGTGGCTCTCAAGGCGCTGGAAAAAATTGATGCAGCAGATTATATGAAACTGAAAGTGGCCATTCTGGTCTGGTATGAAGTAACTCCAGAGATGCACCACCAAAAGTTCTGGTCTGTGACAGTCCAGCCAACCGGACGACCTAGGGCCCTGATCACCAACCTCGAGGATGCCATGACCCCGTTTGCACACCATGACAGATTATAGGTGTTGCATTGTGAGCAAATAGTGCTGGAACAGTTACTGCAGATTCTACCCCCTCGTTCTGGCCACTGGATAGCTTGCTGGAAGCCCCAGGAACTGAAAGAGGCTACAAAGTTGTGGGAGAACCTCCTAGCCACTGAAGGGTATGAGCATCCTCAAGAGGGGTCTTGCAGGAGGATTCTGGGGAATGTATCATGGGGAGCCCCTGTGGAAGTGGCCGCCAAAGTCTCTGAGAGTTCTGAAAGTGGCTGTGCCTGAGTACCACCACCATAGGGTGGTTTGGGACCCCCCTACCCCCCCTGGCTAGAGAGCCCCAGTCACTGGGCCAGCAAGGTGGGGGATGACAGGGCCACCACTGTCTATTGATACCAAGATGACGGACCCCACAAGCTGAACTGGGGAACAAGGTCCCTGTTGTACCAGTGGCCAGTGTGGGCACTTTAAAAGAGACTGTCCTCTCATGGAGTGCGATGCTGGGTGGAGGTTCAGTTGGTCTACTGAGGAAGGACGTGAGAGTTCAATTTGGCCCTAGTACAGAAACTCCTCTACCCTGTGTTGCTGGAGCGGAATGTGCCTGAATTTTCGGTGACCCTGAACAACCTTATGCCCTTTGCAGGCAAGACCACCACCCTGGCCAGTTACTCCAGGGCTGAACCAGTGGGAGATGTCTTTGGGAAGGATCTTGAGAGAGCTGAATTGATGAGAGTGGCAGTAGGACCCCAGTTTTGTGGAGGCCCAAGACCGCGATGACACTTTTGAGGGGGTTTGGGGCAACATAGCAGTAAGTGAAGGCAAGGCAGCAGACCTGCTGTGCAGCCAGCACCTTCCGTGGGTTGTCCGAGAGGCAGGGGTATGGTATGGGTTGGCCCTGAGGAAGGCAGGGGTCCTATACTAGCTTCTTGTTCCCATGCAGTACTGCTCAGAGGTATTGGTGGCGGCACATGACCACCCGTGGGCAGGACACCAGGGGGGCCAAAATACCCTCCTCCAGGTACTGACCTGGTTCTTTTGGCTGACCATAGAAAAAGACATGCAGAATTTCTGCAGAATGTATGAAGTCTGCCAGAGGACCATGAGTTTCCCATCCTCTTATGCTCCTCTCACCCCTCTGCTGATGCCCCATGCAATCAAATAGCCATGGATTTTGAGGGGCCCCTACCCGACATGCCACAGGGCTCCTGGTACCACTGGTACCACTTGATACCTGGAGGCCACTTGATGCCACTTGATACCTGGAGGCCACCCCCTGCAGAACATGAAGAGTGCTTGCATAACCAGGGCCTTAATGTGCTACTTTGCCCATGTTGGACTGCCCCAAGAAATTCTAACCGACCAAGGGTGTTTCATGGTGGCCTTAATGTGACAGGCATGCCAAGCCCTGCAGATATGGCAAATCTTCACATCATTACACTCCCCCCAGACGGATGGCCTGATGGAATGTCTTAATCAGACAGTGAAGGCCATGCTCTGCAGGTTGGCCACAACTGGCCCAATGCATAGGATCTCTACCCCCTCATGTTCGCACTAAGAGAGACCCCACAATCCTTGACCGGGTACACACCCTTTGAGTTGCTGTACTGGCGGATGCCAAGGGGTAATTGAGCCATCCCAGAGTGTGCGGAGGAATGCCATTGTCCTTGTGCCAAAACCGGACAGCAGTTTAAGATTCTGTATGGATTACAGGGAGGTCAATAGGATTACCCAGTTCTATGCCTCCCCCATGCCATGTGCTGACCTTTTAATAGACCAGTTAGGCATGGCACAATACCTCACAGAACTCAGCCTCACAAAGAGGTATTGGCAGGTGCTAGTATACCCCCGATCGAGAGAATATGGCTTTCGCTACCCCACAAGGCCTATTTCAGTTCAAGATGATGCCCCTCAGGCTACATGGGGCAGCAGCAACCTTTCAGCAGCCGGTCAACTGGCACAGTGTGCAAGCTTTGTGATGGCCTGCATCAACAAAATAATCATTTACAGCCCTGACTGACCCAGATCCAACACCTCAAGTAGGTCCTCCAGGCGCTGTCCCAAGTGGGCCTGAAAGCCAACCTGAAGAAGAGCCAGGTTGGATTCAGAGAACTGTTGTATTTGGGCTTCTTGGTAGGGAGATGGTAATTATGGCTGCTGCTGGAGAAAATCACCTCTCTAGAACAGAGCCCCCATCTGGCCATGGAGTGGCAGCTGTTCCACTTTCCTTGATTTGTGGAGTATTATAACAAATTCATCCCCCACTTCGTGACCCTTGCCAGTTCCCTAACAGACTGTCTAAGGAAAGACCAGCCAAATTGCATCCAGTGGAGCCAACCCCAACAAGCCACCTTTGACGTCCTCCGCACAGGCCTGTCCCAAAGCCAGGTACCTTGGAACTGGGACTTTGACCACCTGTTTCTTCCCCAGACCGACGCATCTGGGATGGGTTAGGTGCAGCACTATCCCACAGAGTCGATGGTCAAGAACAGGTCAATAGCCGCAAGCTACAGCTGGCAGAACAGAGATGGAGAAGGAGGCACTGGCCGTCTGGCTCTTCAGTACTATTTGGCAAACAACCTTTTCAAGCTGGTGGTGGACCACGAGCCATTGGTTTGGATGGCCCAAATGAAGGAATACAACCCTTGATTATTAAGGTGGTACTTATCTCTGCTTCCTTCAGCTTCACAATCCAGCATTGACCGGGCTGAGCACATGTCAATACTGATTACCTCTCCTCCTGAATCTTCAAAGACAGCCCTCTGGATGACAGACAAAGGGGTTTGTGTCCGGGCTCAAAGCTGCCCATTACCTGATACACAGGAAGGAGCTGGGGTGGCTCCAGCAACCCCAAACCTGGACCCCATCAGCAGCCGGGCCCCCTGCCTGGGCTGCTTACCTGTCCAGAGGCTGGGGGTGGAGAGGAGTGCAATAGATAGAGTCAGGCAACCAGGGGAGAAGAGGGGAGGTGGGGCTTAGAGAAGAGATGGGGAGATAAAAGGGAGCTATCAGGCAGAGGTCAGGGAGGAAGCAAGCTGGGCACTGAAGGCTACGTTGGTCATGACCCAGCAGGAAGGAGGAAGACGGTGGTGACTTAACCCCCGCCCCTCCCATTCTGAGACCTCTAGCTGTGCCACTGAGGTCAGTCACGTATGAACATTAAAAGTACACTAGAAAATGTGTTTTTTCATTAAAAGCTGCATGTTCAGTTAATTTATGAATTGAATTGACAGTTGAATAAAAGCTTTGTTCCTCCATCAGGCTCACTCATCCATTTTCAAACTGACTCTCAGAAAACCAGAGAGGAGAGAACAATGGAAGTCCCATGAACAAAATTAAGAGATAGCACAGATTTGATCATTCATGGTGGGACCACTTATTGTCTTTGGTTTGGAAGGCTGGGACCAATTGGTGGGAAAAAAAGAAGAAACGATGACCTGTAGCACAGGGAGTCTGGAACTGGTGTCTGATCAGCCAGACTCTTTGTTCCGATAACTGGTGTCTGACATTGATTCCAGTAATAATGATTTGTCAGAGCAGATGCTTTGCATGCAGAAGGTCCCACGTTCATCCCCTCGTGCCTCCAATTAAAGAAAGGCTCTGTGGTGGCACTGGCAGGGGTGGAAAAGACCTCTGCCGGGGAAAGCTGCTCCAAGTTAGGAGGAGATGAATTCTGGGCTAGATGGAAAAATAGTCTTGCTCAGAACAAGGCAGTTTTGTATAGTCACTAGACAAGTCTGCAGCAATCAGTAAGGTCTTTGGGGGGGATGGACACAAAGGGAAATAAAAATAGACGATTTTTATCACTGTCTCTCAGCACTGAAAATAAATTCAGTTTAGGGGAGTGTGTTGTATATTGTGTGCATGCCAGGACATAAAATGTGATTTTTCAGTAATCAGTCAATACACTCTGGCCACATAGTTAGGCACCCAATAGGCTGATAACTGTGGAATTCAGTGTTACATTTGTACATTTGGAGTTTCGAGGGTTAAGGGGAGATTGGGGAGACTCTTCTGTCTTCTTTTGCAGTTGCCTGTTTTCCTAGGGTAGCATAGATTACCCTTTGATAACTCTTGGCAGAAATCCATTGTTGACCTTCTTTAGGTCACATGATTCAGAGGAACCAGTGAATAAATTGTCCCATCACTGGTTTTAGGAGCTGGAGTGTAGTGCCCATTTTTCATATGGGTTGTGTGAACAGAAGAGGAGGTTTCCGTTCTGTAAATCTGAGCGTGCATTTCACAGCATCCAAATTTGCTCAGCAAAATGAAGAAATCCCTACGGAAAGTCTTGGTGAAGATGGCATACAAGAAGGGATTGGCACATGAGTTGATGGGATAGAACAAAACAAGGAGGATCTTTGAGTTGGACACAGTGATGAGAGGGACCTTGAGAGAAGCCGATATGGCAAAAAAGGAGATGGGTGCCATGCAGAGGAAGTCTGTGAAGATCAGGATGGCCATGCGCTTGGCGATTTTGGTGTCACTGTTAGATGAGAAGACGTTGGGATTCCTCACAGTGAAGTAAATGCTGATGTAGCAGGTGCAAATGATGATGAAGGCCAAAATGTTCAGGATCAACAGAAACATGATATATGCCTGAGCAAGTGGAGTTTCTATATCCATGGGTAGGCAGATGCTGACCTTCATGTAGCTGCTAACTTGAAATATGGGAAGGATGGCCACAGTGAAGGCAAAGACCCATCCCATCAGCATGAGGACCACTGCATGTCGAAAACGGACCTTGCGATCAAGTTCCATGGCGTAAGTGATGGTGTGCCATCGCTCCAAAGTGATGACGGTCAGAGTGTAAACAGAAAGTTCACTTGCAAAAACGGTAAAGAAGCCAGCCGCATTGCAGCCAGGTCCGGTTTGCCAGTCTATGGCATAGTTGTAATACTGACTTCTAGTCTGTATGTCTTTGAGTGCAATCAACAATAAATAAATGCCAGTACAGAGATCTGCAAATGCGAGGTTGCACATTAGGAACCGGGGGACCGTAAGCTTATACTGGCTGGTAACTAGAATTATGAGCACTACAAGGTTTCCCATGATTGCTAGGATGTTGATGAACCATATGAGGACTCGGAGAATATTGTAACCCATGATGTCTTCACATGGGTTGAAGGCATCAGGCTCAGGAAAGCAAGTGACTTGAACCTCTTTTTTACACTGAAAGTCAGGGTGGAGATCATCAGTGGGAAAGTCATATTCTGTTGCAGATCTTTTTCGGAATCGGTCTTCAGGATACTCATCAAGGTCTTCTTTGACAGAAAGCTTATTGCATATTGGATGCAATGCAACACTGGAATGGAATGAGAGAGAATGTAGTTAGAGTCTAAAAAACAAAGCAGCAAAAAAAAAGATACACATTTTGCATTTCCATGAGCATCATTACTAACTCGTTATATAATCCCTTGAGAATCGATTTAGACTAGAACTGGTTTAGCACCTTGGCTAAGAGGATGAGCTACAACCCAAAAAGTCCCCACTTAAAATCTTGCCTAAGCCATGACTTCAGTAGATGGTGTGAGGCAAATGAATCTCCCTTAGCCTCAGCCCTCCTGCTCTAGTATATATTGACCGACCTGATAGGCCTGTTGAAAGGATTACATGTGCTTTGAACCCTCAAGAGCCCTACATAATTCCTTTGTCTTACTAAAAATTCATAGGGCTATATCTCTAAGCAGTTATGCTTACAAGAAGCTGGCCACCATGCTGCAGAGTGTGGTGAGTTCAAAACTGGACTACTCTAATGTACTCTGTGTAGATATACCTTTGAAGACTAGGAAGTTCAGTTAATTCTGATGGAAGAAACCAGATGACGAAACCAGAGCTGCCAACAGAGAACATATGCCACCTACCCTCAATTCAATTCATTTATTATGATCCAAGATCAGCTAACTCCTCAAACAACTACTCTGGTTTTCCAGTTATTGACTAAGCAAAGGAACATAACAGCCTTAAGCAGTCTGGTCCTCAGTTCCCAGAGAAACATTTGCTCCCATGTTTCTCTGAGAATTCAGAGAGCATCAGATGGCCCCTTCTCTGAGTGCTCCTAAAGTTGGGCATATTAGCTACAAGTAGCAAAGTCTCCATAATGGCATCCTTCTTGCGGAATTAACTTGCCCCCTTCGCAAGCTGGTTAAAATCTTTCCATTTATGCCAGTCTCTGGTTAAATACTACCATGGTTTCTGATTCCCTTGTGGCTGCTGTTGTTGGAAACTGTTTCAAATGTGGTTCTATTTTATAATTATATTGTAGGCCACCCAGAAAACTTTTGTGTTAAGTGGGATATTGACATTTTGAAATGAATAAATACATGTAGAAAAAGCAACCAAGTGAGGCTCCCAACTGCTGATCTCAAAGCCTCCTGAGACAAGAGCCCACTGATGCTGCAACAACATTTGTACAGTAGATTTCAATAAGTGACAGCCCCTCAAAAGACAAAAATAATGACAGTAAACATAGGAGAGATATCATGGTGATGCAGTTTCCTAAGAGACAAACTGATCTTTATGTCAGACAGGACAAGAAAGTGGGCTGCATTTCCTAATGGGCTCTGTCAGCTTCACAAGTTTAAACATCCAGTCTGCTTTTGACAGGCCTAAGGACAAAAGGAAGTGAGTTGCTGGTTCCCAGACAGGTAAAGTAAGAACTTTTCACTTAATCTCTGTGGCACTCTTTAGAGGACTGGGCTGTTTTCAAACTTTTACATATCTGTCAATTCTGAAAATCTGACAGATAAATTTGTTTAGGGATCACGCTGTAAATGCTTTGCCTTTACTCACAGTGGCTGACATCATTTTCCTCTCCTCCATTTTATCCTCACAACAACCCTGTGAGGTGGTTTAGGCTGGGAGTGTGTGACTGGCTCAAGATCACCTAGGAAGCTTCCACTGGTGGAGATTTGAACCTGTAGTCTCCCAGATCCTAGTCTGAAAATCTGCTGGACCTCCTAATGGTACTTGGTATTTTTGGCCACTGTGTGACAGAGTGTTGGACTGGATGGACCATTGGCTTGATCCAACATTGGCTTCTCTTATGTTCTTATGTAGCTGCTACAACAAAGCAAGTCCCGCTGAGTACAATAGAGCTCATTCCCAGGTAGGTATGCATAATATTGCAGCATTATACTTCCCACCCTATTCTTATTATGTCAACCATGATGCTGAGAAAGCCAAAAGTTGACAAACAAACTCTGTTCATGAATGACCGTCGTCAGAGCCATGCAGGGATGGTCAGATTGTTCAAATCCCAGTCCTTCATTGTTCCACTCCTCCTGAATTTCTCACGTGAATTAATTCCAAAGTTGGAGCATATGTATGGGAGAACTGAACTTTGCTGCAACTTTTAGTTCTTGAAGCTCATTTACATCATTTCCCCAACTCTGTATTACCAATACATACATCAATAAAACCTGACACAAAAGCAACACTGATACAATTATGTCTGATTGCATCCAGAGTATTTGTGCACAGGACTTTACTTAAAAACTCCTGCAATTTATTATAAACACTGAGTAAACAACATCTTTTTTTATATATATAATTTTTATTTTTCAAAAGTAAAAGGTAAACAATATACAAGGTATACAACGAAGCTTTCTCGGAATAGTCAAGAGTACAACAACTTTCTTGATACATGAAGAATTATAAGGCCTTCAATAGCAGTATTGCAGTGGTTATGTAAAACTGTGAGTTAGAAATAGAGTAAACTTATATAATGCTTATTATTTGGAATAGCATCCCTTTCTATCAGGTACTCCACTACTGGGAACCATATCGCCTGGAAGTTTTTTTGCGACCTTCCCCCGTATCTATCCCCATGTGTGGAATGTTTCCCACAAACAAAGTGTTCCCACAGTTTACTCTGCCATTGTTGAATAGTGGAACCTAGCTTGTCCCGCCATCGTTGGGCTATGGAAATTCTGGCTGTCGCCAGCAAAGTCATTACTAACAAGTGTTTAGTTTTGCTTTCAGGAGCGTCTGTCCAAACGTCCAACAAGGCTACTTCAGGTTTGAACGGTTAGTCAATTCCAGTGATGATTGCTATCTGCGTGTAAATCCTTTGCCAAAATTGGTTAATTACAGGGCAGAGCCACCAACAGTGGATATAGTCAGCTACTAACCCACAGTCTTTCCAGCAGAATTTCTGTATACTCGGGCTAATTTTATGCAACTGGGCAGGATGAAGGTACCAATGATTCAGAACTTTAAAGGAGTTGAATCTAATATTGAAGATCTTTGAAGACATGTTGGGGGATTTCCGGGCAAGCTCCCAGCCTTTTTCAGTCAGTCGACCTTGGCAGTCCAACTGCCATAATGCGTGAGATCTCTGACATTGTCTAGAAGAGGGCGTGAGTAAAAGTCCGTATATCTTAGAAATCAGTCCTTTGGCTTCCCCAGACCTTCGACCTACCAGTTTCTCAAATGGTGACATGGTCTCAGTCTGTTCTGTATTAGCGGAGAATTCTTGTAGCATGTGTGAGACTTGTAAGTAGTGGAACCACAGTATCTTTTCAGATAGCTTACCTTCCAATTCCACTTCGCCTTGTTTGTCAAGTCCGCAAGTCTTGTGATGCCAGCACTCCTCCAGGATTCGAATGCCTTCTGTTCTCTCCCCGGCGGAAACCATTGCTGATCCAGAAAAGTTGAAAATCGAGATCTGGCTGGCAAAAACCTCTTCTGGGACTTGTCCCATATGGTTAGAGAAGCAGCAAGGAACTGATTGATGAGAACCGGTTTAGGCCTGTCTTTAGGAGAGTTCCAGAAGATGTCTTGCAATGGGACTGAGCCGGCCATCCACTCCTCTATTTGTTGCCAATTAGGTGGGGTCTTATGGTTCAGAATTCTCATGGTTGTTGCTAGATTAGCAGCTTCCAGGTATGCCCAAGCCTCTGTCTGAATGATGGCATTACTACTATTTTAAAATGGAGAACTTTATCCTTGGCATCTTGTAGTTCCAGAAGAATTTGTTAATTTCTGCTTGCCATTTGTTTAAAAGCTTCCTTGGGATCAATATTGGTAGAGCGTGGAATAAGAACAAGAATTTTGGCAAGATAAAGCTCTTTATCATGCAGATCTTGTCTGCCCAGTTCGGGTTCAAGCGGCTCCAACACTGTAATTTATTTTTAGTTTCCTCAAATGTCTTGTCAAAGTTACATTTGATCAAATCTTTCAGGTCAGGCAGTACTCAGATGCCCAAGCACCTACATGGTTTGTGAATCCATTTGTAGGGGAACTTAGCTTTAAGGCTCTCTTCTGTTGACTGAGCAATTTGTAGCAGAATAATGTGAGATTTGTCCATGTTTACCTTCAATCCTGATATGACTTGAATGTCTTTAAAGATCTGGTGGAGTTTCAAAAGGGAGGTATCAGGTGCTGAAAGGAAGATCATGCAATCATCCACATACAAGCTGATTTTGTGGGTATCTCTGCCGATAGTTATGCCTTGAATCTCTTTGTTGTTTCTTACAGCTGATGCCAGAGGTTTGATCGTCAAGGCGAAGATGAGTGGGGACAGGGGACATCCCTGTCTGGTTCCCCTGGACAGAGGAATTGATCTACTCAGGACATTGTTGGTGAGCACCTTGGCAGCCGGGTTCGCATACAGAGACGTTATTGCTGTCTGAAATCTCTCGCCAAAATTCATAAAGCTTAATAGTTGTCTTACGTAGCTGGGTTCTACACTGTCGAAGGCCTTCTCAAGGTCCACCAAAAGCATCAATGTTTCCTGGTCATTTTGTTTGCCATATAAGATGAGATTTAGAAGGCGGCGGATATTGTCTGTTAGTGCTCGATTTGGAATGAATCCCATTTGATCAGGCAAGATATATTCTGATATTATTGACTGCAGCCAATTTGCCAGAATCCTAGAAAAGATTTTGGAGTCACAGTTGAGTAGTGCTATCGGCCTGTAAGCTTTTGGGGATTCTTGGTTGGTCTTTTCCTTGGGGATCAGGACAAGGAAAGAGTCCTTCCATGAGGGGGGCATTTTTCCATGGTCCAATATATGGTTGCAAGTGTGAGCCAGGTGTTCTCCAATAGTGTTCTTGAAGGTTTTATAATAGTTTGGTCCAAAGCTGTCATTACCCGGGGCTGTGTTCGCTTTCAACTGTTTGATGGCAGCAGCAACCTTCTTTGGGGTGACCGAACTATCTAGCATAGCTCTGTGTTCTTCTGTTAGATTCAGGGATACCCCAGGTTTATGTAAAAAGGTCTTAACATCTGCAGAGTTAGGGTTCGAGGAGGAATAAAGTTGCTCGTAGAAGTCATCAAAAACTTCAGCTATTTCCAGCAGGT